AGCGAAACGGAAGCTAAAATATCAAGGTAACGTTATCTTAAACATTTTATTTACCTACCGGAGCAGATTAAGATGAGGATGTCTCACTTAGATCATTGTCTGTCGCTGGTTTCATCATCACCCAGTTACCCATCACATTTAGTGAAGTGGACCCAAGCGTTAGCGTGCGTTCTATCTACCCATGCTGCTGTTTACAACTCGCTCGCAGGGACCGACGACATAACGCTCTTGCGCATGCGCAGCTGTCTTGGCAAGTTCTCCTTATGAAGGACGGGTACCGAAACGAGGCACCGTTTGAAACGACGTGAATCGGTGCTCAGGCGGTACTATGGAATTCGGTCGGTACCTTAAAAAGTACCGAATTCGGTACCCATCCCTAAGTGCATTACCATCAAGAATGTTCAATTTTAAACTTCTCCATTTTCACTGGAGTTTATTTGCTTGACTTCACTAGAGATCCAATTAGGTCTGTGACAGCAGGTCTGTAGCGAGATTCTACGTAAAGTCATGAGGTTAGGAATACCAAGCACACAGCTTTCAGTTTGCACATGCCTAATGTTTAATACCCACTACGTTAAGGACTTTAAAAAAATCTAATTACGTCCTTTCACAACTTCCTTATACTTATTCACGAACTTTTGCACCTTTAAAACCCGAACACCCTATAATTATGTACCGTACGGTCTGAATCCAGACTCAGAGCACAACAACGCAGGCCCAAAACGCAGTGGATCGGTGTTACAGAGGTTACGTCTGCAGTCCTCGGCAGGATTATTTCCTCTCAAACAGGAGGTGATGAGGAGGAACAGCCCAGAGGAACGTGAAGGAACATTAGGAACTCCTGACGGTCTGAGGAACACCCCACGACCCCACACAACCACTCCGATTTCTAAAATGAGCCTCAGCTGAACAAGTCAAGGATTTACGTGTGTCTGTGTGTGTTTTGATCAAACAGAAATACTAATAAAGATATTAAAAGCGCACAGGCAGATGCTACAACAGAAATGTCCATTTGGACGAAATTTATCAGGTAAAAATATAATAATATACTAAAGGAAGTAGAAAAGATGTGATTGAAATTAACTCCTACAAAAATAAAGTATTATTAATATCAATCACTAACACCATCACCACTAATAACATAAATAATAACAATTTATTCACTTTTTTACCAAATTTTTCTAATGATTTGATAAGAAAATAGGGCGAGAGCAGATATTTGTTTAGATGTGGGGTTTAATTGAACGGCAGTGATCAGGTGTTGCATGAGGACACGCATTATTTATTTATCACAACAGCATCATGAACCACTTTGTTCAGCTGACGTCGTTCAGCTCACAGCTGGATTCAGACACAGCAGGCTGTAGTGGGGTCAACCGATGTGAGTTATTCTATTGCTCATACCGATGCCGACAGCTAAAGATCAGCCCGTGCACAATTTGTGCTGCAAAATTTTGGGCCAATTTTCATGGTCAATATCTAGAAGTTTTCCACTTCATTTGTATTCTAAAACAGGGTATCTGCAGGTTTAAGGGAGCCAAATTTAAGACTTTTTAAGACCTTTTTAAAGGCCACTTTTATCAAATTTAAGCTATTTTTAAAATTAAATTTAAGCTATAATTTCCAGCTATTGCCTGGAAACGGTGCTAACCACATCGCGAACGTGGGATTAACCATCCAGTTACCACTAAACTTGCACTTCCCCATGGCGCAAGCTCCCACTAGCTTAACCAGCTAATGTGCTCATCTAAAAATAGCCCCCTTTCACAACCAACTGACTGCGTACGGTTCCGCTTACGCCAACATCGTACACAAAAAATCCTGAACACCAACTAGAAATTCACGAAAATTTTATAGAAATAAAATAATCTTGTTTATTGGGCCTTTGGTAATTTAAGACCTCTGAAAACTGTATTTAAGGATTATTTGTCATTTTTTAAGGATTTTTAAGGCCTTAAATTTGGAAAAGCAAATTTAAGACTTTTAAAGACTTTTTAAGGACCCGCAGATACCCTGTAAAACGTTACCGATTACATCAGTTGATCCACAAAATGTATGAAACCGGATCAGCTGTTGAACGCCGTGTATAACCAGCTGTTAAATCACTGCTCAGACTTCAAATCACACACCTAACGGAAGTTCATCAAACAAATGACCAAGTAATAAACATTAAAAACTGGTAAGTTATAAAAAAATGTGTTGAAAATAATTTTTGGAGTGTTTATTAAGCAGGCAGTCAGGAATGTAAATTAAACGCTGCAGCAGCTCCGGGCTGCCCGGGGATGTGCCCGCCATTGAATCTGCTTTACTAAGGAGTTATATCGACCGATGCAGATTTATAAAAATGGTAAACATTGGCCTGATATGTCGGTCAGCTGATTTATGGGTCCACCCTACTCTGAAGCAGAGCAGTTTCCAACCATCATGCCCACATTTTATCAATTCAGTCAAAAACAAAGCAAATCTGATTTCTGCAAACAGCTGATGGAGACATTCAGTATAAAGGCAGTTAGTTAGTCAGTTAGTCAGTTAGTTAGTTAGTTAGTCAGTTAGTTAGTTAGTTAGTTAGTTAGTTAGTTAGTTAGTTAGTTAGTTAGTTAGTCAGTTAGTTAGAAGTCAATCAATCTTTTGCCACACCCAAACATGTGTGTGTTGCACACTTTATGAGAATCCAGAAAAGCTTTTAATAGGTGGTGTTGGAACAACTGGTATACCACACACACACACACACACACACACACACACACACACACACACACACACACACACACACACACACTCTAACACACACACACACACACACACACACACTCTAACACACACACACACACACACACACACACACACACACACACTAACACAATAACACACACACTCACACACACAAATACAAACACACACACACTCACTCACACACAAACACACACACACACACACTCACACACACACAAACACACACACACACACACACTCTAACACACACACTCACACACATACAAGCACACACACACACACACACACACACACACACACTCACACACACACACTCTAACACACACACACACACTAACACAATAACACACACACTCACACACACAAATACAAACACACACACACTCACTCACACACAAACACACACACACACACACACTCTAACACACACACTCACACACATACAAGCACACACTCACACACACAAATACAAACACACACACACTCACTCACACACAAACACACACACACACACACACACACTCTAACACACACACTCACACACATACAAGCACACACACACACACACACACACACACACACACACACATGCAAACACACATGCACACACAGAAACACACACACACACACTCACACACACACACTCACACAGACACACTCACGCACACACATACAAACATACATACGTGCACACGCACACACACATACACACATGCACACACACACTCACACAGACACACTCACGCACACAAACACATAGAAACTCACACACACACACACACTCACGTACACACATGCAACACATACAAACACACATACGCACATACATAAACACACACACACACACACACACACACACACAAACACACACACACACACACACACACTCTAACACACACACTCACACACATACAAGCACACACACACACACACACACACACACACACACACACACACTCACACACACATGCAAACACACATGCACACACAGAAACACACACATACACACACACACACACACACTCACACAGACACACTCACGCACACATACAAACACATAGAAACTCACACACACACACACACACGTACACACATACAACACATACAAACACACATACGCACATACATAAACACACACACACACACACACACACACACACACGCACGCAAACACACACACAGATACAAACACACACGCACGCGCGCACTCACACACATACAAACACACACACACCCATATACACACGCACGCGCACACCACACACAGATACAAAGACGCATGCACACACATACACATACATACAAACACACACGCACGTGCGCGCACACACAAACACAAAAACACACACGCACACCAAATAGACACGCGCGCGCACACCTGTAATGTAATAAATTCCTTCAGTTATTACATGTTTCCTCATCAGCGGATCGGAGCGTTTTGGTGCATTTCTGTCATAAATATCTGTGACCAGAGCAACAAAACCTACATTTTCACGCAACATCTGATCGGTGCCAGAAGGAGCTTCTGACTTTGACTCAGCTAAAATGTTCGGTCCAAAACTCAGACACGACTACATCTCACCCTTTATCCAAAGGTAAGAGCTTCTAGTATGAAACCGGGAAAACCCCGAACCCCAGAAGGAAAAGAGACCAGCCAGGATGGAAGTCCTCAGAACACAAAAACAGACACTTTTTACTGTAAGAGCCAGTTTACCTCATATAAAATCAACCCAATCAATCCAAACATAGAAACCAAATGAAAGACAGGAAAACCAACCAATAGATGCAATAATTCTTCAGAAACGAACCTTTAAACGAGACTAAAGTAAACAAACACATCACAGCTCAATTTGACAATAGGAACCAAACCTGGCCGAAGCACTTTCGTCACGCACGCGCACAATTTAGTCAAGTTTAATAAAAAATAAACTTCTGTGTTCGCGTCAGTACGAACATTTTAACAGGGTAGGGCCTATACCGGCATTTAAAAATATTATTTTAATAAAGCTTTGGCTAATATAATTATTTATTGACTACAACAATTTAATTAATTGTAAATAAAAAATAATTAAAGTAAAATAATTTTATTATCTGTAATAAATTAAACGGATTTCACGCTAACACAAGACGACTTGATTCTGAAACCAGCAGAAACTCAACAGGAACGGAATGGGTTCAGTTTGTTTTACACGGAACAATAACTAGAATTAGTTTGATTAAAATATGAGCTGAACTCTTTGGAGCCGAACAGAACCGAACCGTCCTACCTGACAGGTGTGGGGGGTCCCGGCCGCTCCTGCTGTTCTTCACGTTTCAGACAAAAACAAAATCTTTAAGCCTTTTTAGTCCCAATAAAGTCGGTCATCACTGACTTGTTTTCCTCCGGACTTTAAATCTGTTCCGACCCGGTTCCACTCAGGGCAGAACCTCGCGGTGGCTCCGGGAACCCCAGGAGGCGCGTGAGGAACGGATAAGTGAAAGTGGTCTCGGTCCGGTTTTCCTCCGCTTCCTTCTCTCAAGGAGCCGTCAGCGAAATACCACCTTACGTTGGAAGCGTCATTTGGAATCGTAGGATGTCCAAGGAAGAGCCCGCCTTTCTAGCCTCTGATTGGCTGGAAGGGCTCTGCTATGATTGGTTATTTCACGTCAGAGGAAACCGTCTCCGTCGCTGCAGGGTTTTTACATTTACAGCGAGATCTTGAGGGCCTTTGTGAACTGATCGCTGCAATAACCATTCTGTCCTCTTTTACAAATATTCAGTTTCTTTTTTAAAAAACCTGAAAAACATCAAATGTGAATTTGTAATAAATCTTGTTGCATTTATCACACTAGACTAGACTTTATATCTGTTGGCTCTATTGGGGCTATCTTATTTAATTATTAGGCCATCTTGTCCACTTTAATAGCTTAAGGTTGTTTGCAAGTTAGGACACATCTCTCAGCATCTATATGAATGTGTATCATGCCATTTAATTCAAAGCTGATGGTGATTTAGACTTGTTTTCATTCATTTTCATTATTCCAGAAGAGAAACAGACCTGCTGCTCACAGCTGGGCAAAATAGGGCAGTTTTATATTTCATACCCAGGTAAGACACACATGTTTATCCTACGCTCTCTGGTTTAATAAGATGACTTGAGAGGGTGTGATAATGTAACAAGATTTATAATTGGTTCACATTTTAAGTTTTTCATTTTTTAAAATAAAGAAATATCAAAAAATGTTTTGCAAAACAGGACAGAATGATTATTCTAGCGCTAATTTACATTTTCTTTACAAAACTCCCCAAATCAGCTGTTCTGCTGGTGGTAGTAGGACCGTCTGCGCTTAGCGAGGGAAGATGGCGAGAGCATCTCCTCCAGTTGAGAGCCGAGGGAGTCAGAGGAGGACTGCTGGGATCCCCGCTGCGTTCGGTGCTGACGTCTACAGGTGTTTGCAGACGTGCGCGCTCAGGAAAAATCGACAGGCATGACCCGGGCGAGGGAGGGGTACTCGATAGGCAAGGCAGCTTTGTTTGTGTAGCACATTTCACACACAGCAGCAATTCAATGTGTTTTCCAGAACCGCAAGAACATACAATATTAAAATCAACATGACAACATAAAACAGCAGATTTTAAAATCAACTTTAAGTACACAAACAAAATTAGATGTAAGAAAAAGGATAAAAAGGCAAAGCTAAAGACTGGACAGTTGTGCAGCAGGTGCAGCATAAGAAACATTCGTTCAATGGCTGATAAATAGCCTCCATTAAATGTTTCTATTTTGAAGCTGATTCCATCTGTGTGCAGCATAGTGGCTAAAAGCAGCTTCACCCTGTTTGGTTCTGAAGTGAACCAAAAGACAAAACACCCAAACAGAAGCTTAGTGGCATAGTTTACGCAGTCCGATGAAGACTGTCCAGACCTTTACATTGGGGAAACTAAACACTGCTCCTGCAGAACAAAACTGATATTGTTCCGACTCCTTAAGGGTCTAGACGAAAACGGTTCCATCCAACCTGTGTGCCTGGCGACATCTCTGGACTGGAGAAGTCAGCGCTGTGGTCAATCTACTGGACCTGGGTGCCCAGAGGTCATCCGACCTTGACGACCTCCGGATCTGCGAAGAGGGTCTCCGAGAAGGGTGAGGTAGAACACAGTGTGGTTGCGTCTGACAAGTTTTGATAAGAATCAACTTCATAGCTTAACACAAACCAAATTCTTTTAACACCCAGAACTCAGCTTTCCTAGATATGGAAGTTCTGATAACATCATATACACACATAGGCACCATACACCACATAATAATAATAATAATAATAATAATAATAATAATAATAATAATAATAATAATAATAATAATAATAATAATAATAGCCTTTATTGTCATTGTACAGGATACAACGAAATTGGAGTGCCACTCCCTTGGTGCACAATACAATAATACTTCTAAATATAAAGGTCCCCTAAAACAAAACAATAGTAAGTACAATATATACCGAATAGCACAATATATACAGAATAGCAGCTACAATATCATGTAAAAAAATGGCATTAGAATAGCAGCATAATAGTTGACGGTGACCTTGACAGTCGCTAAGCAGTTTTAATTGTTTTTATGCTTATTCACTATAGAGATCGCCCTGGGAAAGAAGCTATCCCTGAATCTGTTTGACCTGGTTTTATGTGACCTGTACCGTCGACCTGATGGTAATAGTTGAAAGACGTGATTGCTGGGGTAAGATTGATCCTTGATGATATTACTCGCTCTGCTGAGGTACCGAGAGTTTGCAATGACCTCCAGGCTGGACAGAGAGCAGCCAGTGATCTTCTGAGCTGTGTTGATGACCCTCTGCAGTACTTTCCTGTCTGCATCTCCATCTAGATCCATCCATCACAGTAAATATTAGTTAACTTGTCATGTTTTAATTGTTTGGAAAATAAATTCTTACTTTTACAAACCTGACTCTTTCCTTGAATCGAACCGAAGTGTTCTACAATCCCTAGATAAACAAAGAATCCTAGAATCTTCTGATTAAACATCCAAAGACCAAGCAGGTTGATATTCTATATTTATATAGAGTATCACAGCTTACTGGTCATAAGTAGAGGTAATACATTAAGCTCTTAAGCTCTCAATTTACCAACTCCTACACACACACACACGCACACACACACACACACACACACACACACACACACACACACACACACACACACGGGAATATTAAATAAAGTTGATAAACTATTAAATTTAGTATCAACTACTTAAAGTGATGTTTTGTAAGTGGTTACTTTTAATAAAGGCTTTTAATCAAATGTGAGATTCCATTAAAAAATATGGATTATCAAAAAGAAGTTAAGCATGGAATTGCTTTGGCACAGGGAAGAATACAATATTCCGGGCATCAGCAACCTGCTGGACACTTGACTGTCTGTTGACCTCTGATATTACTGTCAACAAACTGTTGGACTTCTCCAATGCTACAGTCCTCCCCTTCAAGGACTTGAGGTCACGAGTAGAAGGCTTCAATGCCCTTGAACCAGTTGTAGAAGAGTCACAGGAGAAGACAGCGGTAGATCCGTTAGCACACATGCTGCAGGTGAAATCGAAAGACTTCCATGTTTTTAGATCTCAGGTAGATGTCCCATTACAAGCCTCATTCAAAGTTAAATGGGCCACAGAAATTTGGTCTTAGGGGTTCAGAGCTATGTTCAAATCTTTGATGTTTTTTTTTCTGTGAAAATAATACATTGTTAAGGATTTGGAATGTTACATTTATACGTACATTTATTTTCATCTTTGCAAACAAACTCCTGTGTCCTGTTTGTCTACTCTGTCTCTCACTGCTAGAGGACTCATGGTTCTCTCAAACCCTCAAAGACCCCACTATATCACAGATCAGAACAAAATCTATCAAAACAGGAAATAATGGGTATATTTAACTATTTAGGTATATTTAGGTCCCCATTTGTGTCACTTTTGGTTTACTTTGGCTTCATCTAACAATGCAATGAAAACGAACAAATGTTGGAAATAAAGTGTAGAAAGACACATACATGAACCAGATCTACAAAGGCTGGTAGAGAATATATTCATTAATGAAGATGTTGTGAAGTTGATGGACTGAAAAGCATTTTTTTTTTGCAGTGTTAGCTTTGTATTCATGATGTAAAACATGTAGGGAACGTGCTGGAAGCAGACTGTCAGCTGAGTTTGCAACGGCAGCACTCTGAAGTTGCAATTGCAGTATTTTGCCGGTCTGAATGACATTTTATTAACCCCGTAAAGAGTCATTTTAGCACCTATTGAGTCAAGAAAATGATTTAAACATATGAAAATGTTGGAAAGTATCCCTTCAATCTAGCTGCTGAAATGTCTCCAGCCTTCATTAGTTTCTACAGGAGGGATTCGTCACAAAATCAAACATATCAGCTGTGTTCAGGATCTAAGCCATGCAGGACCTGTCCTGGAAGCAGACTCCAGCACCAGCAGGTCAGCTCAAGTCCATTCCACAGCTCCCTCCACCAGCAGGGACTGGCCGCTACTATGAAGTTGTAGGTGTGGTAATGTGGCCACAGGTGGTGGGGTCTGAGTGACATTTCAGTAAAATTGTTAAGGGTCATTTTAGTACATACTGTCTCAAGTAAATGATTTAAAAATAGGAAAATGTGGCCCAGTATCACTTTAACAGCTGTTTTCTATATGAGAAAACAGCCCGACTAAAGCCTGAGTCATGCTTCTCCGTCTGCGTCAGTGCGGAGACACGCAACGCCATTATCCGTCGTTGTGGGCCTGCTGGAGAGCCCCGCAAGGACGTAGGGAGTTGAGCTCTCTTTTCTAAACATCCGTCAGTCGAGACGGAGAATGAAAGCTTGTGATTGGTCAGGACACCGCTGTCGTCTACACCGCCACCATTGCGCCCTCAAAAACATGAAGACAGCTGAGGATAGCTAGTGGCAGACACGGAGAAGCTTGAAGAATGCCTCGCAAAAAAACCTCTAAAAACATGAACTTTTTATCTCCCGTGACTGGAGGAGTGAAAAGATACGCAGCAAGCGTTTTATTTGTGGATGGAAATGACAGGAAACGTGGGTTTAGAGGTGGCGAGCGCATGAAGAGGTGAAGGAGGATTAGAGACAAATCTGTCTGTGTTAAAAAGTCTCTTATATACAAAAAACACAATATAAACACACTATCTAGGACCGGATACATTATAGGATACCGCAGAACAGCGCTACGCCCTCTGTTGTCCTGGCGGGGAATTGCTTTGCAACACTCTCCCGGAGACGGAGAAGTATGAGAGCAAAACGTCTCTGTCCGTGTCTCCCTGTTGGAGCTGACGGAGAAGCATGAATCAGGCTTAACTCAGTTTGCTATGCTAGATTTTAATAAGTCCAAAATTGGGGATTTTAGAAAATATAAACTATGTATGTTAACATCGTTGGCACTAGAATCATCAGAATCCCTCAAAATTTACATAAAAAAATTTCTTGTACTTTATCACAGAACTGCCTGCAGACAGAGCTCTCTTGTAAG